AGACGACAAACACTACTTTATTAATAAAAGGCCATTGTTAAGTGGCATGCAAAAATTGACGAGTCAGAAGACATCCCAATAAAAAAGAGAAAACAAAGCAAACCTATATAGAAAAAAAGAACACAGTCCAGGCATCCTATGAAGCAGAGAAAAAGTGTCAAGTTTGCATTGGGAGCTTAATGCAATTCTCATTAATTTTTTTCCGAGTCTATCCCTTTCGGGTTAGTCTTTGGGGGGGAGGGATTGTAGTGACTTACTCCAAAATCAGTTTGGCTACATCTCTCAACTCATGCAACATTTGGCAGAGCACGACTCATCGGCATTTTGTCCCGCAGGAGCTGATTTTAACTAGTCACCACATCGAGCTTCTAAGTTGAGCCGAAAAGCGTAGCATTAAAAGTACTCAAGAGTATTTTAATGCAGAGTCTTCCTAGACCGACCAGAACTCACCCTGTCGCCCGACCGGTGAGCTGTCGTTACTCTGTGGTACAACGTTTCTGACTGTTACCAACACGACACGCTGTGAAAGTCTGTGTTTTTCCCACGTCGAGAAATTTTCGCCTTATATACAATACACTACGTGACTCCTTTTTCTTCACTGATACAAGGTTGCGGAATTCTATACGTCGACAGGAAGCCGAGTATATATTTCATAGTGAATATTTTCTTATATATAGCAATCTCATTTAGCTCACTGATTCCATGAAATAGATAATAAATATGCGGAAACGTGCGCAAGACCTCCGGTGCATAACTTTCCTAAGTACAATACCTTAACTGGGTAATTTAAAGCAACTCAAAGAATTTAAATGAAAGATCCTCAGGGGAAATCAGCATGCGCAATTAAAATACAATCACTCCAGGCATACTGTCAGATATATATTTCAAAATGGGTTTGATGAGAAAAAGAGGAATTAAACTGATATAGTATTTGAAAACTTATACCCAACTAACAGTGTCATAATGGAGGAATTGACAGCTCTTGCAACAGGCGAGGAAGAATCGGGACGAGATAGCATATTGATGATCCTTACATTTTAAAAGGCAAGTGAAAGATATTTCGACCACAATGGAAGCCAAAGAATGTTTGCCTTGGAGGTATGACTGCTTGGTTGTGTGAATAAGTCGCCGACTCAGTCCTACGACCCAGAAAAATGCTTGCCTAGTTTAGGCAAGTCGTGTGACATCGTTAGAGCCTAGTCACCCTAGTTAGCTTAAGGTGATCTAATGACCGAGAGTTAAGTTGGCTTACAATAAGATAAGTAGGGTTAACTTAGCCCTCCAAAAGGCTATATGATCCAGGCCACACACCAATTTCGAATTATTCTAGGTCTCACCCCGTAGTATTCGATACCGGGCCCTGAACATTGTGGTGTTACAACTCTACTCCACTACACGGAAGCTTAGTTGGAGCCAGGAACTATCAATTAGGAAAGTTAAACAAAACATCAAGCCAATATGACAAGCGGCTTAAATCCTACTAACTAATGCCTAGTTTTGCGATCTTTGTAAGGCATCCCGTCAGTGAATGGCAGCTTTATGCTTACCACGGATACTTGTAAATAAGTGAAGTTGAAGCACGAGGAAAAAGGGAGTTAAGCACATGCATAGCGAGACTGAGTCAAGTCTTCTTTTCATTAATTTTCTTATTGCACTTGTGGCCTAGGTTCTGTGTGGTAGCGACTACATAAGGAAGAGCTGCCGACGTATAATATCTTAACACTGGCAGAAAAAGGAGTTAAGCGTATGTTCATTACAGGATAATAGAGTGATCTAAAATAGCGTTTTGCATATGGAAACTTCATAAGCAAGCTGAATATTAGGGAATAAATAGAAATAAACAAAACAACAAACACCCTAATTAATATAACATTATGTTTAATAGGTAAACAAGGCATCGGGTTTAACTCAATTCCAAACGTAGAGAATGAAGTGCAGCCTAAGGTATGATAGATTTTTTATCGATCATGAGAAGTGAAGGAGTTAGGTACATGTAGGATATCTGATCACTGATGGCCTTAAAAAATTAACCTGTATAGGTTGTTTCGGAACAGACTGCTATTAAACACTCTAAATAAGTGTATGACAGGCAGAATAGTAAGGCCGATTTCCAATATTTATCGCGCTACTATGACGCTGAGAGGAAGCAGATAACCATGAGTCTAGCATTAATATGAATTAGGGTATTGGATAGCCAATTACCAAAACTGGAAGCCAAATAGAATGATACAAAGACTTCACACCTATGGAAGTAGACATAACAGCGGACATTTAGAATAAAATAAACAAGGATAGGAAATTGAGTGGGAAACATCTATGGCTACCGTAACGATTGATGAGAAAAGTAGACAAGAATCGAAGGTCAATATGAGACTTGAATGACGTCGAACTTGATTGTGTCTCAAACCTCATATGGACCACAAACAGTTAACAATACGCATGCCATTGCAGGCCTGGAAGTGGATATACATTGCAGAATTTCAGCCAATTTCATTTATGTGCGACTGCCGTGAACACATCTATATTCCACAGCATATCCATTCATCACATGCTCTAATCCACAAGCATTAAAAATAAGCAGATAGCACCCAATAAAACAACGGCTGTCCGATGAAGAGCAAAAAACAGTTAAGGGGCAAGATTTTGGCCGAAGATCTTGTTTACTGTTCTTTTGGATACTCATACACACTATTCAGCTCTCAAGATAACCGCGACATGACAGACGAAAACTCAATAAAAATAATCATGGCGATATAACAGCGAACAGAGAACTTCATCACACAATCTAAAGGTCATAAGTCCATGGCAAGTCCGGCTTCCGGTAAAATCGATTGATGGAGCCCTTTATTTTATGTGAAATTTCCAGCAATATGAAAGGACTAAGAGATTCTTTGGAACGCACTTTCCCTCCTGAATACAAATGTCACTAGAGAAAAATAAATGAGCCATCTAGCTGATGGCCTTGAAAGCTAACACTAAGCTGTTTATTAACAATTTGTATAGCCAATGGAAGCTAAAAGGATAATGAAAAATCCAATCAAGGCTCATTAGTGGTAGCAACAGCAGCTAGTGCGCCGAAGCAGATACGAATGTAAGCAGGCATAATCGAGTTTTCAGTACCGCTACAGACATCTAAGACTTCAACATATGGAATAGCCTTTCGGCTCTAATAAACTAAAATTTAATAAAGTTTAATCAGGCTCTTACTAGATGGACAGCTAGCATAACACTACTCGCCATCTTACGTTTATTAGTTTAAAATATGCTAGATATGCTTCGCCGAAAAAAGAAAAAAGTTGAGGTCCAGTATAAGGTGCAACAGCAAAATTCAAATTAAATGTGCAGCTTAATTAGCCTAAATGGAATGAAATAAAGGTATCAAGAATAAGATTGTGGTGAATAGCCCGAGTCGTTTTATGAACTCATATATATGAGCGAAGTCTTATTACAAATTCACCCTTTAAATATATAGATTATTCCCATTATTAAGCAAATAAATATTTCCTTAATGACGCATATTCTACTTACGTAGCCGAATGTCGCAATTTACTTATTTGTGGATATCGATTAATGTAGTTTGCATGTTTTTTTTGACTAAGATAAACAGTAAAAACCCCATTCTGCAGCCTTATCATTATTATAAATAAATGTGTATTTTGGTAAAAAGTGAAGATAAATAAGAGGTAGTTGTAGAGGGATAAAATAAATATGGTGGTATAAACAGGCATGATAAAAATTGAGAACAATTTACCCAAGTATAACAAGCTCCCCGTAAAATGGAGGTTCCTCCTTCATCATAATTCGGAGGCAGAAATCAAGTAGGGAGGTTACAAGAGAAAAACCGACAGTACGTACTGGCCGCCACCAAATTAAGCAATTTTAATTTACGCCTTGTTATAATTTATAAAATAAAACTTTAATGCTATTTATTAATTTTTTAAAATTTTTTTTACTTAATTTAAATATTATTAATTAATCTTAATTTATGCTAAATCGAAATGATAGTTGTTGCTGCATAAGACTGGCTTATTTAAAATAATCTTTTTTACTACCGAGCTATATAAATACTCGGGACAGCTCCACTCATGTCGTAGATTCCTCCCCTCCTTCCTCCCTTCCCTGTTGGCGATGCTCCCCGGTAATCCCTCAGTTACTTTTATCTTCAAAATTTTACTCGATTACTTTTTCCGCTAATGATAATGCCTTAATTTCAGCTTAATTTATTAAAATCAGCATTGATATATTCTTATTGATCCTACAGATTCCTGATAAAAAATATTTTTTATGATTATTTAGATTATTTTTCACTATATATTGCAATGGCATAAGTGAATTTTCTTCAAATATGCCATAGAATATTGAAAACGTTGTGAAATATAATTTGTCTCGAAGTCTGCGATGTTCAAATTCGCAACCGCTATGTTCTCTCCAACGTACCTTAAGTTTTTTGAACCTATTTAGTATATTTGTTATATCTTTGATCCTATTTGTGCTAAAAACAGTGTGGAGACCCTTATCTTATATGTGAAATTCTGCAAAATGACATTTCTAGCTCGTAGATTCCTGGATATAATGTGGGCGGTTCTAGAATTTTACTGATGGTACTGCCCTCCTTTCGTCCTACAACTTCTATACCGACTCAATTTAAAGCCTTAGGTTGCCTCATTCTCATAAAAACCTGTTCACATTGCCTTGCGTCATTCTCCGGTTTAACATTTTCACCTTAGCCATTCTCGTTTGTGCACGATTTTGAATATATCATGGTAGAAGGAAGTGATTAACGCCCGAACGCACTTTTGGATTAAATACAATACGTTCCCTTATAATATAAGTAATACCGACATCTTAAAATAATAGCGTATGCCTTAATTGTGATATCGGTTAATCTGATTCAGAAAGTCTTCCGAAATGTATTTAGAGTTCGTTTCTATTTTTATGTTAAGTTTTGACATTTGTATTATTAAGTAATACATATAAGGCATAAGCGGTTACCTTTTCTGAGTCTGAACTCCACTCCGATTTCTCCATTTCCTCTAACTCACCTACTATCATTTACTATGACTGATGTGACTTTCAAAGCAAGCTAGGACTCATCACGACCTTACTAGAATTTTCGATTTAGCAAGTGCGCTTTTAAGTTCCCTGCCTACTGATCTATTTAGGTGGGATGCGCTTTATCTCACACCATCACTTTGTTTCATGCTTTTGCTACTGACTTTCATACAATAAATATCGATTGCATGGTAATTAAGACGTTTCCTTATACACTTCTTTTCTCTACTCGTTTGTACGTTGTCATCACTTTTAACTCATTTCCCGTCTATTCTGCTAATGGAACTTATCTTCTCTGGCTTTTTACATCAGGCTGCACTATTTCTGCTGCTGGGCCTCTAAACATCGCTTTCTTGGTAGTCAGCGACACATGCACTAAGCTTGACCATCTGGATGCCTCAGGTCAGGTAGCACGTTGCTTAATTCGCACCTCAGGGCACCGCCTTATCTCTGAGGCCATCGTACCCGATTCTCCAAATCATATCAAGCGCCGAATTCTGGACTGGTGCACTAAACCCTTGCCGCTCGCCTCCCTGACTCACCCTCTAATATCTTCTCCCTCAATACCACTTATTGAAGGAGCTCTGGCTTCAAGTCCTTGTTCAGAAGGGACTTTTCAGCCCACAGAGCGATGTTTTGTCGACGTAGTGATCACAAGCGGTGGGACTGGGTTGTCATCTCGCGACCAGACCCCTGGAGCCGTTCTCTCTCTACTTTCCTGGAGCTCTCCCTGGGATCAGGCCGCTCGACTGAATTATTCTAGGGAAGAAGACAATGGTGTCGAGATTACACGCTCGCATCGCTTGCCTGGTATCGAGACAGCTCTGACAATAGTCTCGTTACAGCACACTCCTTTGGCTGCTTTGGCTAGGTTCACTGCCATTGCTTTCTACGACTCTGGAAGCCAGTGCTACAGGCCAGTAAGCCCTTAATTCAAAGTCTGCCTAAATATGTTAGTGGTTTAGTCTGCTTTTGTTAATCCCTTCGTCGGTATATTCTCACGACTAATCTACCTAAGCCGCCCTCATTCATGTGATGGGTAAAGTATAAATGATGCCAAGGTGTATGACTTATTAATATTTTTCTATGGAACTGTTTGCGAATCTGCATTTAGTCAATTGAAAAGAATGTTTAATTTTTTATAATTAATATTTCCTCGTCTTATGTAACCTAGATTGTAGTCTCGACCAGACTCAATTGTATCATTCGAACTGTTGGTGTTAAAAGTAGGAGCAAGCATGCTGCTTAGTAATCCATACGACCATTGACCTATTTTTGCACGATGAGTATGTAGACTCGCTATAAGTTTATCAATAGAACATTCTAGCCTAGTATTGCTGAGCTTACTTCCATTTCGGGTGAAGTTACTTAATGAAGAGATTCGAAGGTCGATCACACCAGAAGACGATGACGGATTGCTCTTGACAAACTGTCGATTGGCTTTACTGGAATATTCTTGTTGGCGCTATTTCCGAGGCAAATTCTTTTGATTCCAGTGCAAACGGGCTTAGCTTTCGTCCGTCATATGATGAACATCACCAGAGGGGGTTATCATCCATATGACCATATTAAAGCTAACTAACCAAATCACTTTAGATATAGGTTATATACTGCAACAATTATAGATGAGTCGGTGAGTTTTCTTGATTAGTTAACTTGAATATAGTTGTGAAGATGCAGATATACATACATGAATGTCAAAAGCGATTTAGATATTGCCAATGAATCAATAATTTATATTAAAAACATTTGACTCAGTATAGACCTAGTTAAGATCTTATAATTCTTTCATTAAAAACATTTCAGGGCGTATCAGCTAACTATCAGAATTCAGTCCATTGGCCTTGTAGGCCCAACCTGATCTTATTATGCTCATTTGTTTTAGCTCAACGTCAATCCTGCCACTTGGACCTTTTAAATTGTTGTAAGCATTATGGTATCCTTCCCCGATTCTGCAATATAATGAGGAAGTGTCATTTGGACACAGTTAATGAAATACTTTATCACGCCTCCATCCAGAAATTACAGGAAAGTTACGAGACTGAGAGTTGTAAGCTCATAGATCATAGATCTCAAGTCTAGATTAAGGAAGAATCTAGGTATGGTTCTCACTTTGGATGATTTAAAAAAACTCTAGAGCATGACGGACCAGAAGTCACAGAGGGTTAGGTATCTGATAAGTAAGCGGCATGTTTAGAAATTGCTTAACTATGGGATAATAAGACTGAGCAAGACCAAGCCAACCCGGGCAAATTTTGATGGTTCTTTATTGAAGGCATCAACCTCTACAGACAACGATAGGACAAAGGTAGTTAACCTATCTTCAATCACTCTGGTTTCTGAAACTACGGATCTCTTAGAGAAGGGGTTGCATTTTTCACCAGGTAATGAAGGAAACGTTCTTAGTGATATTCTGGTGAAGATGTCAACATAGCGGATAAATATCCAGAAAATACAAGGCGGGAGATGGAACTGGAAATAATCCCACGGATC